AATTAAAAGTTTTTGAAATAATTTCTTCTCAAATATATTTTGAATTAAACCTGAATAAAGCTTTAAACTTTCGGAAATTTAAAATCTGCCAAATAAAACTGAACTTTTCTGTGAAAAACATGAATTGCTCTGATTGAAAGAATTAAAAAAATGTTTTCAAAACTAAATCTTTTGAAGCTGTCTTAAATTAGGTTTCTGTTAGGTCTCGTCCTACGATATGTAAAGAATATTTAGAAATAAATTCTAAAAAATCTATCTTGTAAATGATTTTGAGGATTTGGATTAATCGTACATTGTTGATACTGGATCCGGATACACTATCAATTTAATGTCTTATTTAAATTCGTAACTATTTTACGTGCCGGGGAAGAATAGCTCTTTAAAACAAAAACTGCACCGTGTTATATCTTATATATAATCTTATTTGAAAACAGAAGATTATTATTGTGTCAAAATGAAAGATACACAATTAATTGATTGGCAAAATAAAATTATTGCACAAGGTTTAGAAAACATTTATTTATTTTCAGGGAGTGTAAACAGCAGATGGCTCCAACTAAGATCTGTGCTGAAGGTTTGGATGGATCTGGACCTTGTCCTGGGGACTCAGGAAGTCCTCTGATAGTCTACGATGAGTCCGGACCCGTCCTGGTCGGACTTGTCTCCAACGGAGCTGAGGCCTGTTCATTAGGCTTACCTGGGATATTTACCCGAACCAGGAAAATATTAAACAATATTCTTGATTAAAAGAGTTTTAATCACATTTTTTTATTTCTACAGTGATAGCCAGAAAAACTCTAGAATAGGAAGTTAACTTTTAGATTCAAGTTATTACTTTAAGCAGTCCAATGATCATGAGACACAGCAATTGTGCAGTGTATACAGACCTTTATTTAACGTAATAAGTGATTTATTAACTTACTAGTAAGGCTATATTACTTTGTAACAACATTAATGCACTTTAGTATTGATTTAAAGTCGTCTTCCTATTCTACAGTTTTCTGGTTATCACGGTACTAAAGTTATCGATGAAATATCGTATTCGAATATGTTTAATGTGATCAGTTCGTTTGTGGATTGGATCGAGAGCTCTGTAAACCCTGCTCCAAGACGACGAGTTCACCCTGTAGTACAACAGCAGGTCCTGGACCATAGGGATACATGGAGCAAACCCGTCCTACCAGTTAATTCAGTGCAACTTCGTCCAAGTAATCACATTTCTGTACCAAGAGATCAAAATAGTTTTGTTAAACCGAAAAGAACTATACGGTTAAGACCGGAGCAAAGTATCCAAGTGAGACCGGAGCAAAGTATCCAAGTGAGACCGGAGCAAAGTATCCGATTAACACCAGAGCAACCTATCCGTTTGAGACCAAAGCAACCCATTAGACTTGAAACCGGGCAAATCAACCAAAGGAGACCATCCCAAGAAAGTGAAACAAATAAAATATTTGGTTCGAGACCAATGCAAACCACAAAATTTAAAACGGAGCAAAATATCCTGTTTGAAAAGGAGCAAGACGTCAAACTGAACCAAGAGAAGCTAAATTGGTATTCAGGTTCTCTTGATGATTCCTCTTGGTATGATCCAGACCCAGAGTATACGGTAAAATTAGGACAGAGCACCTGGACAGATCAAAGTTCTTGGTTTAATCCTGAATGGGATAACAACCTGTACAGTACCTGGGATGGCACGGAGCAAAGTACTTGGTATGATTCAGAGAGAAGTACTTGGAACAGACCTGAGCAGAGTATCTGGTATAGACCTGGAGAACATAACTACGTTATTAATGATCGGAGTTTATGGTCTGTTCTAGATTCAGAGAACAATAGACGGAGAGGAGTAAGACTGACAAAAGGAAGACTAAGATTTCCCCGGGATCAGAAATAGATCTATCGAGAGTTGATCCTAGATATGGAAATCATAAACCATAGATCTGTCCAGAGTTGATCCCAGATATGGAAATCATGAACCATAGATCTGTCCAGAGTTGATCCCAGATATGGAAATCATAAACCATAGATCTGTAGAGAGCTGATCCCAGATATGGAAATCATAAACCATAGATCTGTAGAGAGCTATCACGGATAAAGAAATCATAAACCTCAACACCTCAGATCACAAGAGTGATGTTAAAGTTTTTACCTCAGAACAATAGTTTAAATATCAGAATTTCAAAACACAAATCTTCAATTCCGCAATTTACCACTATACTTACCATATCAAACGCGGTGCAATAGTCATGTATCGGGATTATACTAGATGAAATGTGGAAACATAATTAAAATGAATATATAATTCTCCATAATAGACTAAAGAGAATTTCTGTATTTGTAGTGGACAAAAATTGCATATTGCAGAAACTGATCTTGCAAAATGTTTGCTGTACAAATTCTCGCAACAATTAGTCTGACAAAAATTCAAGTTTTGTAAAAAAGGATTGTGCTTTAACGCACCTTTTAACTTTTGTTTACAATGATGCGCGTTACAAATTATGAATCCCATAAATTAATGAAAATAACAGATAGGACACTAGATGTCGTTTTTTTTCTCAAGATTTAGGGGTTTTTCGTTCATAATAACCCGAGGCAGAAGACCAAAAGGAGTTACGCGCAGTCGGCGCAGAACAAGATCTCTCTTTCTCTGTTCTACGCCAACTGCGCGTAACTCCTTCGGGCTTCTGCCACAGGGTTATTGTGCACGAAAACCCCCTAAATCGTGAAAAGACGACATTTAGTGTTGCTGACCTCATGCAAATATGTTGAAATGTAGTTTTTGACAAAATGGGGGTTTAAAAATCCTTAAACATTTCTTAGTGAGGTTCATGAGAAAACTTCTTTATTTTGTTCGTGATTTTCCAAAACCATGGTTTCTCAAAAATTAAATTTGTCTGAAAGTGAAACCCCTTTGATGAAATAAATATAATTTTCTTTTCAATTTCCGGAAAAATGTCGGATTAATTCTTAGTTAATCTGAAAATCTGAATTTCGTCATGTGCTTGTTAACCGAGACAGAAACCTGAATTGCTTCCTTCAAGACTGTAGTGTATAAATTCTCTAACGTATTGTATTTATTTTATTATTTAAATGTATCTAAATTAATTACCGATGAACTTCAATAAAAATGAAGTTTGTCTGAAAATGTACATTAGAATTTTACTATTATCTTCAAAAAGGCGCATAAAATTTACATGCGTGACTACACCTGCAATCAAACATAAACTACTTGTTTTTCTTCTCAATATATATATATAAATTAGTTTCTAAGCCTAATCGATTATTCACTGTAAAGTGAGTTATCATGGAGAAATCTTTTAACTATTTTTATTAGGTCGGATTCACAGATTTTGTAGGTCGGATGCACAGATTTTGTAGGTCGGATGCACAAGGTTAGGTTAAGACAATTTCTGGGCCGAGCGCTGCGGCCAGGACAGGCTTGGGGGCCGAGCGCTGCGGCCAGGACAGGCTTGGGGGCCGAGCGCTGCGGGCACATTTATCACAATAACCAAGTGATAGACAATATGTGGGGCTATGTTAGGTTAGGACAACTACTGGGCCGATGTAGGTCGGATGCACAAGGTTAGGTTAAGACAATTTCTGGGCCGAGCGCTGCGGCTAGTACAAGCTAGGGGGCCGAGCGCTGTGGCCACATTTATCAAAATTAAGTGAAAGACAAAATTTCTGGGCTGAGCGATGTGGCTAGGTAGGCTAGGGGGCCGAGTGCTGCGGCCACATTTATCAAGATGGCAAAGTTATAGCCGATATATGTGGGGTTATGTTAGGCTAAGACATTTATTGTGCGTCCGACCTACAGAATTGAGTGCGACCAACTTAGAAAAGATGTGCACAGTGCAACCGACCTACAGTAGGTCAGATACACTAACTTTGCATCCGACCTACCAAATTTGTGCATCCGACCTGCAAAATTTGTGCATCCGACCTACTTAAGTTGTGCATCCGACCTACAGAAGAGTGCAGCCAACTTAAGAAAACTATGCAACCGACCTACAGTAGGTCGGATACACTGACTTTGTGTGTATCGGACCAACAGCAGCTTGAAGCTGCTGAAAAACCACGTGCGGGTAGGTCCGAAGTATCGTAGGACGGATGTAACGTTGGGCGGATGTAATACAATCTTTACAACCGAAGGGTTACTTAAAATTAATTTAATAACATTAAAAAAAGTTTTCAAATATATTTATTGATTTAAAATATAAGATTACAACAATAACAAAATATTGAGTTTGAGTAGAAAAAATTTTATAATCGACATTTTTCAAGCTCAGACTAAAGCAAGTCACTCAATTAATCAGCTGGCTGGACCAGCTAGAGATGGGCATCATTATTCATCAGATTTTTAAACATTTAAAGTTTTTTTTTAATATTTCAAGAGGCTTAATATTCTCTACATATTTGTTTTCATGAGAACTCCAATAGAATATACATGTCTGAAGGACACAACGTTAACGAGTGATAATAAAATCGATCAGAAGTCGGAACTTATATGCTGTAAACCTTTGTGATCAAGGATTTTCGAAAAGTTCGATATCCCGTATTAATCCATAAATTTAAAAGTGCCCACATTAAACACCGAAATCAAATTATTTTTCATACAAAAGTTCAAATCTCAATTCTATTTTATTTCCGATTTAAAATGTTTACAAAAAGGATGAATTATGTTACCCAACTCTAGATACAACCGATCCTGGTACTTGATAAACAGATTGTATCAATTGAAAAATGTCGCAATTGTGTTAGTCCGGGAACATCCTTAACAACGTATATATTTCAAGGGGATTTTGAAGTTTACTTTTAGTCCTTTTCAATATTACTTTCGCAAACGTTGGTAGTATCAAGAATATTTAAATATTAAAATATTAAAAATATTAAGAATATTTAAATACTAAAAATATTAAGAATATTTAAATATTAAAAATATTATGAATATTAAAAATATTAAAAACATTATAAATAACTTCACTATTAGAAAATCAACATTATAATTTTATCTCTCACTTTCCGGAGTTTATAATTTATTGCAACTTTTTACATTTAAAACTGATTTTTTTTGGGGGGGGGGAGGGAGATAAGTATTGAAAATGGTTTTTGAGCTTGCAAGCCTAAGTAAAATATTATGACCACCTGGAAAATGTTGAAAAACTGTGAGTGGAGAATTCTGGAAAATTTACATCTCTGAAAGATCTCTAACTAACACAATTGGATTTCTTATCCTCTCTAGATAATCAGTGGCGGAGTTAGATATAGTTGACAAACAACATTACAGTTTTACATATGATGTACAGTGTACAGTGTACACTGTACACTGTACACTGTACACTGTACATATAATATCACAACTAATCATTGCTGCTTTTATAAAAAAAAAATATATTAACTTAATCACACACATCAATATTTTACTTCCAACTTTCATACAAAATATTTTTTCTGAAACTTTTATGTTAGGAATATAAAAGATAAGTCTGTAAAGAAAAATCAATTTTCCTAAAATATTTCCGAATCCTTGAAAAATTTCCAAAGCTGTGAATCTTAAATAATCGAAATGAGTTTAACTCATTTTCTTCTAGGAGAGATATTAACTGATCTCTTAGTTATTGTGCCCGAGAGTAGATAAGTGGTTTAGCTTAATGCGCTTATTAAAAATTCCTAGCTCAGACTATCTTGTTGGAATAGTCCAGCCTAAAAAAATTCAATTGAATGGCAAAAAAACTAGCATCCTGTTGGAATAAAGAGAATATTTGTGTGAAGAACAAATTTAATAACAATAAATCACAGTTAAAACAAATCACAAGAAATAGTTTTTCCATTTTCTAAATTTTCTAATGGAGAAGTACAGTGAGGTGGGCTGCAGGCATACGTTTCGAATCTTTTAATAACGTTAAACTCCTAATCCGACTTTTAAACTAAATCTTCACCAAATCTAAACAATTTCAAGTTCCTAACCTGACTCATAACAAAACTAACTAAAAGAATATCTCCCCTTTTAAGATATCAATCATATTAAAGACAATTTTTTGTAAATTTAAGAACATAGATGTATACTGAAACCCCTTTGAAATGCATCTCATCAAACGTACTTACTTTAAACTTCAGAAATATGAAAGAGTCTTGACTCTTGATCTTATTTAGATACTTTAAGACCAAGAAGTTACTAGTAAGGTATCAAGAGGTGGATTTAGGTCGAAAAAGGCCTAAATATATCCCGACAGGTCTAAATATATCCCGACAGGTCTAAATATATCCCGACAGGTCTAAATATATCCCGACAGGTCTAAATATATCCCGACAGGTCTAAATATAACCCGACAGGTCTAAATATAACCCGACAGGTCTAAATATATCCGGATAATTTTTCGGAATTCTGAATTAATCTAGATAGTTCTGAACTTCTTTGATCACAACAAATATTACAAGTCTAGTATGTCCAAAACACAGGGGTATAAAATATTTTTTTGGGGAAGAAAGGAAAATTTTGGTTCAACTGGCAAGATATATATTGATATTAAGCATATCTTGAATTAAAGACACCTAATATATCAATATAGTATGTTAAATTGTATCCTGAATATCCCAAACTACAGCTGCTATTAACTAACATATCCAAATGTATCCTGAATGTCACTACAAAGGATAGAGGTATCCAGTGTTTATATCAACAATATAACTAGGACTAGGAGTATCTATGTATATATAATATATATATATATCTATATCTAGACTGCATCCCTGGACTGGTAGAACAGAATATATCCTGTCTCAGAGGATTTCTGGATATCTGTTGTTAATCCGTAGAAGTCCTCTATAGCAGACGGATCTATTTTATCCACAACATCATCATCATATATCAACCAGAATCCATGACTCTTCACTATAGAGATATAGTGACCCCTGGACACATAAACTTGTTAATTAGGGAAAAAACAATCATCGACTTTCATGAATAACTAGACTACCTGTAAGGACCGGATCTACAATGAATGACTACCTGTTAGGACCGGATCTACAATGAATGAATACCTGTTAGGACCGAATCCACCATGAATGACTACCTGTAAGGACCGGATCTACAATGAATGACTACCTGTTAGGACCGGATCTACAATGAATGAATACCTGTTAGGACCGGATCTACGATGAATGACTACCTGTTAGGACCGGATCCACAATGAATGACTACCTGTTAGGACCGGATCCACAATGAATGACTACCTGTTAGAACCGGATCCACAATGAATGACTACCTGTTAGAACCGGATCTACAATGAATGACTAACTATTAGGACCGGATTCACAATGAATGAGTACCTGTTAGAACCGGATCTACAATGAATGACTGCCTGTTAGGACCGGATCTACAATGAATGACTACCTGGTTAGGACCGGATCCACAATGAATGACTACCTGTTAGGACCGGATCCACAATGAATGACTACTGCTACGAGATCGTAGAGTCTATCAGGATTGACAGCATCATCTGAGGTGTTAAAGAGACGAAGCTCTAGAGGGAACACAACACGATGAGACACCTGAACAATTATTATTTTAATCCATTTCTTAATCTATCTATCTATCATGAAATACTGGGGGGGATTAATTTAAGAAATTAATAAAATAAGATTAAGTTTTATATTTGTTCGTGTAAAAAAAACAAGAAAATCAACATATAAACAGTGTTCAAACTAGGGGCGAACTGATTTATTTTAAACATGGGTATTTTTTTAGGGAAGTATACATACAGGGTTACCCATAAAGGATTAGACTTTTACAAACGGCTGTACAGAATATATGTACACTTTCTATTACGCATCTAGGGTTTTCTGCAGCTGAACCCTTGTTTCCTTCTTTCAAATCCTTTATTACTAGCTTGGGAACCCAGCGTTGCACAGGGTACTCATAGTTACTCCAGCAAGCGCCATTTACCCGCAATAACACGATTTTTACCGGGAAACTAACTTTTCGCTAAAAAAATCGAAACACGCAACTTAATATCTCAAAACCAAGCCAAGAACATTCCCATGGGTCTCCCGATTTCATCAATCAAAATTAGAGGCAAATCGGTCCAGGGGTTCTTGTGTTATAATAGGATAGACAAACACAGATTACAACTTTATATATATATATTATATAGACTGTATTTAAAGCAAAAAAAATCAAATCGCAATTTAATTAAGAGTTTTCGGTCTTCATTAATGTATTATCTTTATTGGGTATCTCTTAGACAGTTCTGCTTCATTTACTATTGCATTATTCATCTTAAAAACTTGAGGTTACCTTTATATGCCGATTATATTGCTCTACGAACTTGAACCGTTTCAGATGAAGGGCAAGGATTGTGGGTAACCGTTTCACACGCATACGCTTCTGTGCCTCCTGAAGTATATCAATTAGTCAGCGTTGTAATGATTGCATTAATTTGAAATTGCCACCATTTTCTTTCTATCTAATTCTTTTTAAGGTTTTAAGGTTTTTCAGATTTAGTCTAATAGTTCCTCAAAAACAAGCGGAAAATTTTCGACCAAATCATCGGAACATATTTTTCCTCTTAAAGCCAACATTTTTAATGTCAACCAATGAGATATCGTTAAAACATTCTTCATCATTAAATGGTAAATTATGTTTCTGAATTAAAAACAGTGAAAACAGAGCTAGAAAATGTTGGAAAATTTGTTCTTGTAAAAAGAAATGAGTAAACTTAAAGAAACATTCATATCCGGTTTTGGTTAGGGATCGATTTCCCAAATTAAGCGTTTTCTGCCTGATAGAAACCATTCACTTTATGAAACCACCCATNTGTACAGAGTTCGGAAACTGAACGGTCAACGTCAAGGATTGTACAGAGTTCGGAAACTGAACGGTCAACGTCAAGGATTGTACAGAGTTCGGAAACTGAACGGTCAACGTCAAGGATTGTACAGAGTTCGGAAACTGAACGGTCAACGTCAAGGATTGTACAGAGTTCGGAAACTGAACGGTCAACGTCAAGGATTGTACAGAGTTCGGAAACTGAACGGTCAACGTCAAGGATTGTACAGAGTTCGGAATCTAAGAGAATGTTCCCTTAACGTTTAAACAAATGCTTAGGATCCGGATCAGGATCCGTTGGATCCGCAAGATTTTGGCTTCCTGGATCCGGATTCGCAAAAATATGCGGATCCACAAATCCGGATCCAAGGGGTAAAATATCAACCAAAAACTGAAGAAAAAAAATTTTTACTCCTAAACCCTAAATCAGAACTTTTGAAAAAAGAAAGATTAAAAAAATTTACTCATTTCTGAATGGTTCATCAAGTTTTAGGATAAAAATAAGCAAAAAAAAATAGAAATAAGAATTTGAAAATTATTTTTTGCTAAAAAAAATTCAGTAAATCTTAAAGAAATCACCTGGATCCATTTTTTTCCAGTGCGGATCCAGGATCCGGATCCGCATCAAAATTGAATGGATCCTAAGCACTGGTTTACACAAAGAGTTCCTAGAGTTTAAGACTGTTTGGGAGAATAACATGATTACAAGGTTTAGGGAGCTTGCTAATCTTCCAGTCGTCACAACTTTTGAATCATTGAGCATTTTTGCTCAACCTGGAGAAGATTCAATAAACATATAAACCATGTAACTATATACATATAAACGTAATGTAATTTTTTTTACCGCTTTATAAATATGTATCCTAAATGTTTGTTTTTTAAATTTAAATATAATTTTTAAGGGATCTAGCCACAATTGCTGAAATCATTTGTTTATTTTAAATAATGTATGTAAATATTTTCGTCTTGTGCGCACTTTTACTCGGATCTTTTCAAAACAGAGAAGTGCACACATTTTTGTATGCACATTAAAAAATAAAAATCAGCGTCCTACGACGATGCTAAGTTATGTTTGCAAACTCTTTAAATTTCACGGAGAGTAATAATTTTTCTGCCCCCGCCCCCGCCCCCCCCCCCCACTCCCATTTGTTATGAAGAAGTTGTGAAGTTACTAAGAAAAAAAGCAGAAAGCGCTCATTTCCAAAAATGGTCGGTTTCTTTAAGGCATTACCGCCCATTACCCCGTAATGGTCGGTTTCTATAAGGCATTACATAGAGTTTCAATAAGGCATTACCGACCATTACCCCGTGGCCGTAATGGTCGGTTTTTATAAGGCATTACCACCCATTACCCCGTAATGGTCGGTTTCAAGGGCGAGAAAATGTTAGAGTTCCCCAACTGTATAAATTAAAATTACTTAAAAGCAGAAAGAAATTAAAATTTTGCCAACAATGAGAATGGAAACTTAAGGAAACTAAAATTTACACATTTTAGAATAATTAGTTCTAATCAGATCTGAGGGAATAATTAGTTCTAATCAGATCTGAGGGAATATCGACACAAATTCATATGACGTGGTATTCAAGAGGTCCAGGCCCTATACACGACGATACCCTTTGTTTGGAAAAACATCATTAATAACTATTATTGGAAAACCGATAATTTTCAATTGCGGTTTATCTATGCAGAGAAGACGAGATATTTTTTAAAAAGTTTATCCCGTTTAATGATTGAAACTAGAAGACATCTTTATCAATGTTACTCATATAAAGATTTTAAAGAATGTCGTTGTATCAGGAGTATAGGGAGAAAGATCTGAAAGCCCCCCCCCGTTTGGAGAACCCAGAGCATGTGAATGAGCATGTATATTTTTATGTATTGGGGAGTGGGGACACTAAGTTTCTGAAAGTTAAAAAAAAAAGTTTTCTGTTTTCATAAATGTTTAAATCTGACCTGGTATGAGCTGCAAGTATCACATTTGAATTTATTATCTGAGCAAAGAGTTTCCGTCGAGGAGAAATTACGCAAACAGTTCGTTACAGAGGTATTCTAAACATTGAAAACAAATATTAATATTTATTAAGAACGTGTTTTTCTTTTAACAAATTTTGCCACGGAGAAAGTTATGAATAGAAAATAATTATTTTATTACAGATTATTTTGTCCTTTTAAAAAAGGGGGGAATTAATTAACAAACAAAATACCTGGTCAACGTCTATACTAAGATCAAAGAAGTCTTCGTCCTTGGATGTCACTGTTTCACAGTTTAAACACCGGGTTTCACTGGTCAGTATACCCTGAACAATAGATACTGGTTGAAGGGAAGGCGAGGTATAAAGTATTTGATCAAAAAACTTTTCTTTGCATAATATATGAAAAAAAAAATTTCTGTATATTGAAAATATTGAATTTTGTATCTGTAATTATCAAAAATTTTTCTGCGAAGAGAAGATGAATCTAAATTCTAACTAAAATAAGAACGATAAACCAGAAAATATTGGAAGGTGTACTCACTACTCAGCTGGGGTGATATTTTACTTATAAACCCAAGAGAAAAAAGGTTTCAGGATATGTTCACCATAAATAAGTAAGTAAAAAAGTAAGTAAGTAAGTAAGTAAGTAAGTAAGTAAGTAAGTAAGTAAGTAAGTAAGTAAGTAAGTAAGTAAGTAAGTAAGTAAGTAAGTAAGTAAGTAATTATTTCTTTATAAAATATTTCCCCCCATTAAAAAAAAAGAATCTTACATATTATTTATATTTGTATTTTTTTTAAATCGTTGATGGATTGCTAGTTCTTTTCAACGATGAACTTACAACTTACAGGAATAAGAATTGTTGATTTTATACTGACATTGAATAAATATTTGCAATCATCGATTCGTTCATCTTAGATTCGTTCTTTGAACGAAGAATGTCTCCTTATTAACCCGTGTTATTCATTTTTTTTATCAGCTTTGTGCCAATCGTAAAAATATGTAAAAAAAAATAATTCCAGGAATTTTTTATTGCTTCTTCTTCTCCATTTTTGTTTTACCTGGAATATATCATTGATCCAGGTTGGGTTGTTCTGTGGTTCCTGGTCTGGTTCTCCAGGTTTAGGTTTACCACCTTGGTTCTGGTTCTGCTCACCCACGATTATTTCATTGATGTGATTGATCAGGAAATTCAGGAACTCGTGAGCATCCTAAAATCAATTAATTAATTCATCAATCCGACATATATCCGCCATCAATTAGTCAATCAACCAATCATTAAATGAATAAACAATCGGAAAAATATAAATTCCAGGAGTTGAAAGAATCTGTCTTTCTGTTTCTGGCGTCTGAAGTTTATGTTTTCTACCTGCTATATGTTTATGTTCTCTATCTGCTGTATGTTTATGTTCTCTACCTGCTGTATGTTTATGTTCTCTACCTGCTCTATGTTTATGTTCCCTACCTGCTCTATGTTCATGTTCTCTACCTGCTGTATGTTTATGTTCTCTACCTGCTGCATGTAGTTGTCGAACTCTAGCTTCTCCTTTCTTAGCCTTGCAATAAACTTCTTGGGCGCGATTGTTCCAACTTTTCTCTTTTGTGTGACTATACTGTAGAAGAGGTCAGCTAGACAGGAGAGCAGGGTCTCCTTGTTCCTCTTGTTCTTAGCTTTATACTCCAACACCTAGATAGAACAGTAGATCAAGAAATATTAACCATCATCGTCATATAAAATATTAAAAGCAAATAAATATAATCGTAAAAAATGGTATTTTGCAAGATATTGTAAATATCAAAATTTTCGCGACTCACGGGCGATGATTTGAATAATATATTGCAACATAAAACCTCTAACCAAACTTGTAAATATCATTTTATAACTAATGAAATAATTTATGAAACCAGATAACAGCAATGGCAGGAATTGCCTTTAATATAGGAATCCAGATAATATTTTCAATTGTTAAGATAATCATATAAAATCAATTATTTTCTAGTATTTTACTCATATTTATTGAATTCAACCTTTAAATTAACTAAAGATACTAATGGATATTTTCTGAGAGATAGATTCTAGAAAAAATTATAAAAATGAAAAATACGATCTCAGCCAGAATTTTTTTTTTGAAACTACACCAGTGATATATTGATATCATAAATATGATTAATATATAAAATAGCAATCCATGTTTATCTATTTGTTTGTAAATCCGATCATAACTTTAAAACCCCGTAACCGATTTGCCTCTAATTTTGATCGGGGAACTCGTTGGGACTACGAGAATGTTATAAGTTTGTATTAAGAAACTTAATTGGGTTGGTTGATTTTAACAGGGAGGTTTAACAGCAGAGCTGGATTTCCAAACTAGTAATTTTATTTAACAAAATTACTTTTTCTCTGAAGGGTTTGCAGAAGTAGAGAGCTTGCAGGACGGAGTTTGAGTAACATGTATTCCCAAAATTGACCTGAAAACATAGAGAAATAAACATTTGTAATTAATAATTAGACAATATTTGACCTGGCTACAACGAGGAAAATATTCTGAGTCACGTTAATGCTATTGCTATGGAAATGAGGATCTGGTGCATTCGAAATGTAACTATCTCTTGTAGTGACATACTAACGTAACGTGATAATATACTTTTTTCTTAGTATGGGGAAGAAAAAGTTTAAATAAACATCATTGAGCGATATAATTATTAAAAAAAATAGATAGGCCATTTAAAAAACAAGACATTAAACATAGGACACTTCATAAATAGGACTTTTTATAGATCAAAACATTTCAAAGAAGACAAAAAACATAGCATAGAAAAAACATTTCGTGTATAGTATTTTTTGCTTTCTTCCAAAATTAATAATAAAATACCCTGGAATTTTTAAGACATAAGAAACCCAATTTTACTCTGTTTATAGATTGTCTTATATGAAATGTCCTATTTTAGAAATGTTATCTATGACATGTCTATTTTCTACAGTTTAATCCAGCACTTCGGAGTAATCGATAGAATTTAAAAATGTCGGTTTCTAAATCTACTGATAATGGAATGCAGCAGATAAGTTTTGAATTATATATTTATATGGAGCTCTTTAAAACTGTTCCCGCATACATCATGGCTACTCGTTTATTTTTACAATTACTGAGATTTAGGTATAATAGTATTATAGTATAAAACCAATTAATAATTCTTCCGATGTTTCCGAAGTTCTGGGAAAACCTGCATGAAATTCCTTATCCATGAAATGTCTTCGTTTATGAAATGTTCGATCTATGAAATGACTTCGTTTATGAAATGTTCGATCTATGAAATGACTTCGTTTATGAAATGTTCGATCTATGAAATGTCTTCGTTTATGAAATGTTCGATCTATGAAATGTCCTAACAAGTTAAAATATATTTATACTTACTAGACCGAAGTAATGTTCATTTGAAGGAAATAGTTCTGCTCCGATATCCTTCTCTAGCTGGCTTGCATTGGATCCCATAGTACAGGGAATCAACCTAAACAGGAAAAAATATCTTTTCCATTTTCTTAGAGAACGTCTTTTAGCCCCCCCCCCTCTCTCTTTGACAATTTTATACATGCATTTCTTATGTGAGACGCAGTCCCATATCCTGTCTTTGCCACAGCGCTCGGCCCAAAAATACACAGCTTTCCTCTGGTAATCAAAATCGTTCTCTTGGACAATGCCATTCAATTTTCAATTATGAAAAGATCAATATGTTAACGATATATCAATATGTTAACGATATATCAATATGTTAACGATATATCAATATGTTAACGATATATCAATATGTTAACGATATATCAATATGTTAACGATATATCAATATGTTAACGATATATCAATATGTTAACGATATATCAATATGTTAACGATTTTCAGGAAAATTTTCCCAAGTTTTGATAATAAAAGTGCAAATAACATTGTCCACACGTAAATTTTCAACAATCTCTATTTTTGATCCCCTCCCCATAACAAAATGTACATAGTCAAAGTATGACTTGCGGCCGCAGTGCCCGGGGCCGCCTTGCCTATCCTAGCTAGCCGCGGCGCTCAGCCCTCTTGCATGTCCTAGCCGCGGTGCTCGGCCCAGAACTTATCTAAACCTAACCAAAACCTGGAATAATACGCATTATCCTGCGTCTACCGGGGGGCTCATAACGGGGCCTCTTTTTCAGATTTCATTTAAAATTAGTTCTAATGTACTTTGACCATGTACATTTGTTGATGAACGGTGGGAGTACGAACAGTTTCCTCTAGGATAGAGCCCAATTCAAATTAATAACTTAATTAATAACCCAATTTTAGAATGGGGCAACTGGGTCGAGCAACACCGATCCGCTAGGGCGACAAAAATAAACGATATAGGAGGGGAGGGGGAGGTAATAATAATAATAATTATATATTTAGATATTATGTGTACCAAACCTGTCTCCAATTGCCCTACGAATATCCGACATACAAGACGTTTAAGTTAAACAGTTTATCTTCACCCAACATTAACGATTACATTTCTGGGGTTAATTCTAGAAAAACGGAAGTGTCATAAAAATTAAGGTTGATAAATGTTAAATCTTGATCAAACTGAAATATATCATCACAGAAATGTGAGCAGTCCCCCCTTTCTAATAGTCTGCTCATTAAAAAATGATAAAATTCAAATTTGTTTCTTACTTGCTTAAAATAAGATTTTAATTCTTGATCAAAACATTTGGTCAAATTTAAAAAAAAAGATAATTTTTACGTAAATTCTCTCTCATCTAGAAATATGTGTTTGTGTTGCCAATAACGCTTAATGTTTCATTTTGACATTAAAATGACACACAATATTTAATTTAATTCTGCCGATTTAAAGAGTTTTATAATGAGTTTAAACAACTTGTAATTGTTTACAATAATGGAAAATTTTTGCTGCAAATTAAAGTTCTCTATAAATATTTGGTTTGGTTTAGCCCGGCAATCCGTAAAGACGACATTTAAACAAATTATTAATGGTAATGTTGATCCACTCTACTGCCCCCCAACGCCCATGAATCCGGCCTATTGCCCATCCGCTATACTGCACATCCGACCTACTGCAACATCCGACCTACGACAGCTGTTTATTTTTTTATTATTTCAGGGTTTGGTTAGGTTAAGAGATTTTCTGGGCCGAGCTTTGCGGCATAGGACGGGCTAGAGGGCCGAGCGCCGCGGCTAGGACAGACTAGGGGGCCGGTTGCTGCGGACAGAAGTCCATCATAGTAACTGTAAGACGGATGGGCAGTAGGACGGATGGCGTAGGTCCAGAAATACACCATCGTCATTTATTTTTTGATGGTGTTACTTTCGATCCTTCGCCCATACACTTAAACAACACTTCTGACCTACTTGCATCTGGTTTTGCAGTTACTAGTTGGACATGAAGCCACAATGCCATGAGCCCCCTTTTCCCGTCCTGGACGCGGTGATCTGACGAATCTGACAAATACCCTGTTCTAGGAGTGGCCTATAGCCGCATAGGATCGGCCCAGACATCATCGTCTTAAGCTTGAACCTAATCCCTCAAATATCGGAGGTCCGATTTTGCATTATTCCGGAAAGATAAATGATGATCAAAAGGCCAGTATACTATAGAGGGCTGAAGGGATGTTGCGTATAGACTAAAGACGATGTAACATGACCTTAATATCCCAAAAAAATTTGAAACTCCTCCATGAACATGATCCAAGTATTCCAATTGCAGTGCAGCCCAGTGACGTACTCGGCGTATACGTCATACTTGAGAGGGCAAAACAGGAAACATCCCCCTCAAAAGTTAAAGGTACAATTCGTACAATAGGAATTGAAGGAATGTCATTCCAGTTTAATATTCATACATTCTAGATTCTATGTGTCTAGCATCTATGTGTTATATGCTTGCCCTCCCTGAGGGGGGGGGGGGAGGGGCACGCATATAAAAATATTTTAAAATCTCACTTTTGCCCTAAAAAAGTTTCATTAAAAAAGCTTTATCAATACTGCCTTCAGTGTAAATATATCCTTGATATCATTATTTATAATTATACAATATGTATCGTTTCTGTGATTGAAAATATAGATATTTTTTAAGAAACATTTCCATCTCTATGTTTCACCCATTGAAGCTTACACCACAGTATTAAGAGGAAGTGTCTGATGAGTCAAGTTAAGAAAATTACAGAAATAATTTATTAACATTTGTTATATGGAAGTGTGAATATGATCGAAAAGTTTACATAGTTAAAAAAGTATCAATATTTTTTCAAAACAAAGGGGTTTTTAAGGGGGGGCCACAATGTTGTCAAGAGGGGGTGCACACCAATTTTTTTGTGCCCCCGGCCCCCCATACACAAATGCTTTCGTAAGCCCCTGGTAAGTCCGATATGTCGCAGTAGGTCTGAAGTATCGTAGGACGGAAGTACTGTAGGACGGAAATGCTGTAGGACCGAAGTAACATTACCTACTGCCAACCACTCACATGACTTCTAAAGTCGAACCAAAACCATTTTCATTCCCTTAAGTCTTTTTCCCTGATTGAATTCTAAACAAGGGCTACCAAGAGCTGAATTTGTACACTATAAACTCAGGTTTTGATCAAATTTTTCCAATTGGATTAAAGTTGTTAATGCTAATTTTAGATATTCTCAACAAAGTTTACAGATTAATATTGACTCACGACACAATTAGCAAAATCCTTTTTCAAGAATGTTCAACCTTGAATTGAGTGTTTTCTGTAAATCACTAATGGCACAATCAGAATGAAAATAACTTAGGTAGCAGTAATCCTAAAATATACGATTGTTTCTATTCTTATATGTGCGTTATACAGGGTTAGCCACAAAGAATAAGACTTTAATGAAAACATAAAATTCATTTGATATTATGATCCAAAGGTTAATTTTGGTCTTTTGAGTTTTTTACCACGTACTCCAATCCTTATTTTCTAATCCTTATATCTTTGCAACCTGATGATGTATACCTGTGGTATTTTAAACTAAGATTATTTGATCTAACGTAATTCAAAGTTTGAAATATCAAAGGTCTGTGACATTGGGTCGCAAATATATTGGGATTAGAAAATCAGAGTTTGTGGCAAGAACTCAGTTCCTTTAGAATTTTAATAATCTATTAAATTACTTGAAAAAAAATTTCAAGTTGCATGGAACCAAGACTAAGAAATCTCTGTTAAATTCCGTTCAGTCGTCTCTGAAGTCTCATCCTTCGGGGCAAACCCTGTAATAATTCTGAAATATTTCTGTTTCATTTTCTGTTTTTGCTCTATCTATTCAGTGAGCATTTTATCTACGCACAATAACCTTTCCTGGGGTCATGTTAGCTCCCACACAAAATTTTTGGCCATATCAGTTCAGCCGTTTTTACGTTTACTGGATACAAGTATAAAATATATATATATATATAT